AAGCAAAGTTGGCACTAAAAATTACCAAAGTGTCGATCACCTCAAGCAAGCGCTTGACCGGGAATGGCGTGTGACGGTTTCATTGGCCGTTTGAAAGCCATAATTTGTGCCAGAAGTGACCAATTTGAACAAATCTAAACTTATTCTAAAATTTGACGCTATTTCCGACATTTTTTGGTTTCCACAAAATTAACAAAAAAAATGTATAAGCTATGGCTTTTGACTTTGTTGCAGTTCTTATCTCACCCTCTATATTAAATTTGTCAAATTATTTCTTTCTTCACTTGGAAAAATTAACTCAAGAATAGAAGCTCGTGGAATTGAATTAAAAATTGCTCAAAATCACTAAATTATTTGTCAATTCGGAATAACTTTGGGGATTTTAGAACCAAAATTTCGCAAAAAAAAAAAGAGCTGTTTTATGGGAACAGTGTAAGTTGTGCATATTTATAGTTGAATATTTTGCTCGGGGAACACATCATTGTGGTGCAGGAGAAAGGTAGAGTGTTGACATTTAAGTGAAATGTGTTTTTCTTCATAATTTCTATGTTTCCGTTAATGTCCATATTGACCTGCAGAGACTTTTCAGAAAAATAAACAAAATCTTTTAAAATGCAGTTGTTTTACTTTTTTGTCTGAATGTAAGTTGGTGTTCATTTTGTCTAATATGTTTACTAGTTCCATGTTTTTGTTTTTTTCTTTTTTTCTTTAAGATCACATTTACTAAGAAGTTAACAATTTGAGACATATACGGTAAAAGATAGGTGTTTTTTATTCTGGATTTTCCGTAGTAGGTATTTTACAGTTTGGGTTTATATCGGCAAGAGTGAATAAGTAACAAAGATTTGTATATTTTACACTTTAGTATCTTAGATAGTTTTTATGTACTTTTCAGTTTTACTACTTTAATAAATTTATATTTGTTTGTTCCTTAAGAGGATATTGTGTGTTTACAATAAATTCCTTGCAGGTTTTTTTATTTTATTTTTATTTTACTAAATTTTTAATAATTATTTACAAATTTCTCTTAAATATTATTGCACATTTTTTGTTCAATTAATTCTATGTTTACCTAGTAGTATACCTAATATTTAATGTGTGTGATAGAAAAGTAAAAAAAAATATTTGTACAATGTTTCTTCTAAATTGAAAATTAATAAAATAATGCAAAAAAAAAAAAAAAAACTACTGAAAAATTACGGAAATAATGCCAAAACAAAAAAAAAAAAAAAATAAATAAATAAAATTTTAAATGAAAATGATATAGGACCTTCATTTTTTAATGTCACCATATGAAAGCTTTCTAAAGAAAATTTTAAATTCAACAACCAATGGCCACCATCTTGTTACTGAAATAAAAAGTTGTAAGTAGAACGTTCGACCGGGTAGTAATCTTTTGTCCACTACGTTATACTTTCCATGGAATAATGAGTTTGGAACCGTTATTAGAAGACTATAGCCAAAGCAGATCCTTAATAAGAATCTTTTTCGAGGAAAAGTTAAAATGAGTACTTAAAATATGAAATTACAGCTCATTTAGGTGGATATAGAGATATTTACATTAAAAATACCGTAAAATTGAGATATTTAACGAAAAGTGGGTATTCGTCGAATATATTTAGTAAATAGAAAAAATAGCTTATGAAACCCACAAGTAATTTTGTTGGAGTTTATGGAAGACCTTCAAAGCATCGAAAAATATGAGATACTGATATATATTAAAAACAGAATCTGGGTCTTTCGTGAACAATCGTGGGAAATGAGTAAATATCTTTGTCAAGCCCTAGGTTTAAAATTACCACTTCAGTCAATGGATCAATACTTAAACACACTGTGATGCAGTTACAAACATTGAGGGTTATTTGAAGTCTCATATATATACATTCTTTCTCTCATTTGTCTTTTTCGTCGTTTGCCGACTTTGAATCGATAATCCATACCTGTTATGAGGACAATAATTTGTTTTGTTTTGGGACTTTTTAAACCCTTCCTTCTTTGACCTCAGATGAATTGAATATTTTTACACAATTATTTTTGTAATATGTCGTCAGTCCTATAACTGTAGGGGGTATACATCATTTCATACCGAAGAACTCCTTGTGTAGAATTTCAGACAAATACAATGAAAAATATGGCTAAAATCATCAAAATACCGAGTATTGTGAAAATATGAAACCATACGATATCGTGAACAAAAGACAGATTTGAGCAAAATTTTAGCTTCCTATCTTAATTCGTTTTGTCTGTAGCGTGATTACAACAGAGGAGAGGGCTAAATCGTCTTAGAATTTTACGCTGATCAAGAATATATACTCTTTTTTTGAGTTTACACTTATTATTTCGACCTGAGCGATAACACTTAGTTCATGTGAATGATTTGAAATATAATTAGTTTTATCCTTCCGCTGAACGAATATGGTTATGTCTACAGTTGAACAACGCTGAGAAATATATGCGATATTACTTTGAAAATCGTTGCAATGTTGCAAAATGTTGGGTCAAACAAGCCGATGCACCCAAAACGGGTCACTGCTTGGTGCGGATTTTTGTCCTAAGACATAAATGGGTAAATTTGGCGGACCCTATAGAGCATTTTGATGTCTGGTTCAGGAATTAAAGATGAATAGGAAATAAAAATAGTTAAGTTAGAAGGACGAAATATAAATTTAATAACAAATTTTTCATTCTATTAGGCTTCTTGTAAAAATATACTGCATAAGCTACAAAAATATCGGTCGTTGGCCATTTTGCGCTATGACTTGAAAAGATCGATTCAGCAAAAAACACATTTTAAATTTTGATTATATAAAAATGATTAATTAAACATCATAATTCGCCTCAACAGCTCAATAAGTTTTCGGTTAAGTATTGTCGCAAATTGAGTAAATAATCTCTCAAGAGAAGAGTTTTCGAAATATGAACATGAAGTTGAAATCCAATATGGAGTATAATTCTGAATAAATAGTACTTTTTTCTTTATAAAACCCGGTATAAGGCGAATTTAGAATACATCTCAGGGTCATAAGAAAAATTGAATGGACTTAATGCGAATCTGTCGTTTGGGGTTCTTAAGTAAAGATATATATGGAGGCTATGTCCAAATCTGATCCGATCTCGATACAATTTGGCAAAAGTATTCATGAGATGTATTTGACATATATCACCGAGTATCGGCGTTACGGAGTGCATATTACTGCTGTGGAGGAGAAATTTAAAACATCGAATGAAACATATTTATGGGAGCTATGGCTATATCTGAACCGATTTCCACCAATTTTGACACACATTTTTTTTCTAGGCTCAATTTGGCTATATGTGGCAAATTCCATCCAATTTGATATAATATTACACGTTTGGTGCACAACAAAAGTCAAATCGGACGAAGATATATACGAGACCTATATCTAAATTTTGACCGATTACCTCCTATTTCAATAGGGTTAGTCCTTGGGCCAAACAAACGATTTGTGCAAAATATCATCTGGATCGGGCAATAAATGCGATCTGTCCTTTTCACCAAAAGTCATAGACAGACGGACGGACACGCATAAATCGACTCAGAATGACATTTCAACCATATCTTCAAAAGGAACTATCGGTCAAATTCGCTTCCTTCTCTATGTTACGAACAAATGCACAAAGACATAATACCCTAACCATAGTTTGGTGTAGGGTATTGAAATTGAGAATAGTGTCAACATTAAAAACATGGCGACGTTTTTGCATACTCATGGATATTCAGAAAACACCTGGACACTTGGTAAATAACTACAGAATATTGATAGATTTTTAAATTTCCATTGCATGACCCTAAATCCATTTATCGTCACTTGTTTTGTTATATTTTAAATGAATTTTAAACACAAAAAAAAAAAATAAAAAAAAAATATATATTATAAATACTTTAAAAAAAACTGAAGTTTACCGATAATGAGATATTCAAACTATTTGAAATACCAAAAGAAAATAATTTAAATTTATATACAAAATTTTTAATATATATTATTACGAAATAACTTTATACATTTGCATAACACTGACTTTATTACATTTTCAATTCATTTATATTTATAAGTCTTGATATATGTTTGTTTTCCTCTTCTTTACTCTGACTTCAATAAAAACAACAGCGACATACATACAGATATTTTATTCACAATATATATGCAAGTAAAACTCACATTCAGTTCATACATACATACACACATCTATATCTATATATTGAGAATATTGAAGTATCCTTATCATACATAAGATACACACAGTTATACGTACATACATAGATATCTTAACTGTTACTTACACATTTCTTTTTTCGACCGCTTAAATGTATGAGGGCAATTCGCAAAATGAAAAAATCAAAATACGTATATGTATGTATTTAATAACAATAATTATGATATATTTTTTTGGGTTCTTTTTTTTGTGTATTATTGAAAACATTTTGGTTTATTTTAATTTTCGTTCGCTTATTTTTTATTGGAGGTACTAAAAATACATTTAAAAACTTAATATTAATAATGTACATATTTCTTTTGTTCTATCCGGCTGTGCAATTACGCAAGTTAACAATGTTTTGGTCAACTTTTGGAATACGAATAGGAATTTCGATAATATGGGTCAGATCTTTTGTCCTATAAAAATATGAAATGAAAAATATTTTTTCATAAAAATGTTCAAATAACATATTATAAAAGTTTTCATTCCATATTTCCTCAGAACAAGAAGTGAGCCCATAGACAGGAATTTATTGTCAAATTTTTTAAACTGTTTGCCATTTTGAATTATAGTTTGAACCGAGCAGATATAGCCGGCAGTCCAAGAAATACAAAATTTTTATATATCTGAGTTCTCTAAGTCTGAAAACTATTTTTTTTTTAAATGGGAGTAAATTTGACCTAAGGCTCCAATCGAAATTCCATCCGAACTCCATATTCTAAAATTTAATTCCAAAACCATATGTACTTGCGTGTTATTCTCTTCATTGCATTTTATACGTCTTCTTTTTTGTTAGTATGAATTAGTTTATGGTTAGATGTATATTATGGCTTGGTGTGGGTGTATGTGTTGCTGTTTTTTTGTTTGTTTTGTAATTTAAAAACCATTTAATGGTTATGTATTTGGCAATTGAAGATTTGTTCTATGCTGCCACAATACACAGCTGCGGGGCAATTTTGTATCAATAACAGCATTACAAATACCGATACAATCACATCGCTGGCATTCCAGATGCGATTGCCGCTGCAGTATCAGCTCTTGTCGGCAATTCTGCACTGAGTGCTCAGGGTGATCCTTCGCGGTTGCGTTATGTTTAATGGTCCCTGTGAGCAGCCGCCAACGTATACGATGGCGCAGAGTGCTCTGTTGCTGTTGTAGCCATAATAGAATAAATGAACCTATCACCAGGAGTGTGAACGGTGTGGCTTTTAGGTTTGAGCCATCGCCGTGATGCATAGCCGCAGGATGTTCACCTGAAATTAAAAGAGATTTCACAACATTATCATGATTGTTTTGTGTGTATGTTTTTTAATATTTATACACAAATAAAACATGTTTACATGTAATATATTGGGTTTCGACAACATTTCGCCACCACCACCCCCCAGAGCAAACATTAATTTCGTTTAACAAGCATTTCGTTAATTTACCCCACATTTACGTTAATGGCCCATTTCCGCAATTTCGCTTAATTTCACGTCGGCCATTAATTTTATTATCTGTTCATACGTTGTGATGATACCCATTCAATGCCATAGACTCTGGCGATATGTATCGATAAGTTTTTAATTGATATTTACTGGCGTAAATCTATGCATTTATATCGTAGCCTCCAAAGTTGTACAACTGAACATTAATTTATAGAATTTATCTGGTTCTTTTATCTTTTGATTTGCTGGGGGAAATTTTAATTAATGTGAAAAACGATATAGCTTGGAGGCCTTTGGATTTCAATGAACATGGTCAAGGAGGTTGGAGTATGGTAGGCGCCTAAAAATATCATTAGGTACTCTTTCATGTTAAGTTTAACTATTGCTTAGCATTTTAGTTTTATTTTTGGATGTTATAAATATATTACATATACTTTCATGCGCTGGTTTTGTTGGAGGGTAGGCTTATTGCCTTATTTGATTGGGGCATAAATTATGTAACACCTCGAAATATTTGTTTCCCACATAGGAAAGTACATATGGATTTTCCTATCTCGCCGAGCTGAGTCGATTTAGCTATGTATGTCCGTCCGTCCCATGAAGTTAGATTTTAGGACAGCAAGTAGAAAAAATTCCAACATTTCCATCCTACCTAAACACTAAAAATACCATAAAGGCGAAATCCAAAATACAAATCATATAGATGAGTGTGCATTTGGAGAAGGGCCTCTTCCAGTTGGAGATGATCGCAAAATATTTATGGGTTCAAATGAACCAAACACAGAAAAATAATTGAAAAATTAAACAATTGAAACCAATCGAAACCAATATTCGTAACACAGTTTTTTCTTCAAACCTTAATATTATTCCTAGGACACTTCGTATAGAAATTGCAATATATTGTCGGGTACCACCCCCAATAATGGCATTTCTTGGGTATTTTTAAATTTTTTGCTAAAGATTTGAAACCGAATCAGCTGTCAAAACTCGGTCGGGTCCAACTATACCACTGTGCGTATTTATTAGAGCTAACGTAACAAAAAAGTTATATTGGGAATTTATGTGAAGTAGGTCATACCAATTATTAACCTTATTTGATTATTTAGAGTAGTCACAATTTGGGTACTATCGCCATAGCAGCCGATGGTCGCTCTCCGCTCGTATTAATCAAAAGTGGCATCAGAATAAATGCCGAATATTCTAGTGAAAATATTCTAAAGCCTTGGTCACGCAAACATTTTGGCCGCAGACCTTGGGCATTCCAATATGACTCAGCACCATTACACTCAGTACGCGCCACCCAAGAATGGTTACAAAATGAGTTTCCTCGATTCATTTCCAGTGCACACTGGCCACCAAAATCTCCGGATACCAATTCGTTGGACTATTGTGTCTGGAGTATTTTGGAAAGCAAGATTGGCAATAAATAGTAACAAAGTGTCGATCACCTCAAGCAAGCGCTTCGCCTGAAATGGTTAAAAACACAGCATAGCAACATTAGGGCAGCGTGTGACGGTTTCATTGGCCGTTTGAAGGCCATAATTCGTGCCAAATGTGACCAATTCGAACAAACGTAAACTTATTCTAAAATTTGATGCTATTTCCGACATTTTATAAAAAAATGTATAAATTATGGCGTTTGACTTTGCTGCAGTTTTTTTCATCTCACCCGTATGATATCAGGGGCATTGCGCGCCATCTGTTTGTAGTTATTCATCGCTATAACTTTCGAACCGATATTTTCTCTATTTTTATACCCTCCACCTTGGAAAGGAGGGTATATTAACTTTGTCATTCCGTTTGTAACATCCTTAAATATTCGTCTTAGACCCCATAAAGTATATATATTCATAATCAGCATAAAATTCTAAGTCGATTTAACGATGTCCGTCTGTCTGTCTGTCCGTCTGTCTGTCTGTCCGTCTGTCTGTCTGTCTGTCTGTTGAAATCACGATACAGCCCACATTATTTGACGTAGAGCTCCAAAATTTAGCAGAGCTATTTGCATTGTGTCTAGGATGGTTGGTATTGAAAATGAGATATATCGGTCCACGTTCTGGTATAGTCCCCATATAACGGTACCTCCCGATATTCGGTATTTTGATGATTTATGCCACGTTTTTTCACGGATTTGTCTTAAAATTGGTATTTGTAGGTCATAGCAGGTCCCTGAGCGTGTGGCAAAACATTGCATGTATGGGTTCAAAATTTGGTATAGCCCCCATATAACGGTACCTCCAGATATCCGGTAATTTGATGATTTTTGCAACATTTTTTCACGGATTTGTCTGAAAATCGGTATTTGTTGGTCATAATGGGTTCCAGCTCCGGTGGCGAAACATTGCATGTATGGGTCCATGATTTGGTATAGCCCTCATATAACGGTACCTCCCGATATTCGGTATTTTGGTGGTTTTTGCCACATTTTTTCACTGATTTGCCTAAAAATTGGTATTTGTGGGTCATAATGGGTCCTAGTTCGTGTGGCGAAACATTGTAATTATAGGTCCACGTTTTGGTATAGCCCCCATATAACGGGACCTCCCGATATTCGGTAATTTGATGATTTTTGCCACATTTTTTTCACGGATTTGTCTGAAATTTGGTATTTGTTGGTCATAATTGGTTCCAGCTTCGGTAGCGAAACATTGCATGCATGGGTCCATTATTTGATATAGCCCCCATATAAAGGTACCTCCCGATATTCGATATTTTGATGGTTTTTGCCACATTTTTTCACTGATTTGTCTAAAAATTGGTATTTGTGGGCCATAATGGGTCCTAGTTCGTGTGGCGAAACATTGTAATTATAGGTCCACGTTTTGGTGTAGCCCCCATATTACGGTACCTCCCCATAATCGGCATTTTCATGGTTTTTGCCACATTTCTTCTAATGTTTATTTTACCCTAAGGTGGAGGGTATTAAAAGTTTGGCCCGGCCGAACTTAATGTTTTTTTACTTGTTTCAGGTAACTTTAATGGTAATGCCTACTTTTAAATTAAATTTAAGAATTTTTAAAAGCAGCTATTTGCAACATATTTCTCCCCCTGCTATTATTTCCTCCAATACATTTTCTAGGAATTTAAACAAGCTTTCCTATAAATACTAAATTATTCATTGACAATCATTGATATTTTCTGTCTTTAAATTACAACAAAATAAATAGTAATAATACCAAATTACACTGTCAATCAATAAAATGGAACAATGAAAACCAATTGTATCCTCAGTACAGAGAATGTGGCGAACACAACAACAACAAATAAATTGAATAACTTTTACATCAGCGACGGCAGCAAAACTATTTCGTTGAGACATTGTAACCTAAATTAAAAATAAGGCTGCAAAAAAACTTGGCATAAACTGTAATAACAGTAAATGTCGAATATTTCATTGAACTAATCGAACAAGCACGCACAAGGAATAAAAAAGAAAAAAAGGAGAAACACTAGAAAACCTATGTAACGTAAATGACTTTGAAATTAGGGCGCACCAGAAGACGGTTGGTTGTTGGGGTGGACATAAAAAATTGTTAAATAGAAATGAAAATTTGTAGAATTAATTTGGATAAAATAAATTATATTTTGATTCATTAATTTATATTTAATCATGTACAATTACAATGTAAAAATTTTAATGTAAAAAATCTAAATATTTCACCACCCACCCTATTATCTATCATTATATAAAATTCTCTAAGTATACCTAAAGCCTGCAAAGCAATTATATTAACTATTTTCAACATAAAAAATAACAAATAGCAAACAACTTAATAAGTTTCTTTCGCGAAGACGTCGACGGAAGCTCTGGAGTAATGCTGCTACTCACTATTTCTACAGGAAACCGTCGAACTTTACGAAAAGAGCACAGAAAGAAAGAAAATCACTTAAACTTTCGTAATTAAGATAAGTTTGTTACTGGGTGTTTTTTTCTCTCTCTTCATCTTCCACTACTTCTTTCATACTTATCTATTCACTCGTTTCTTGGCATGTTCGGCTGTAAGTGTTAATAGAAAAGTAAAAGTGAAATTATTTCTTGGCCCACGGAAATGTAAGGCAAATGCGTATGTGTGAGAATAAGTTATTTTTTTAAATTTAATGCAATTAAAAGGAAAAAGTTAAATTTGGCGCTGGAACATTTGACAACTTATCAATAAAATTTAACTTATATCCAATTGAATGCATTCTTAAATTGAAAGTCAATCCAGGAGTTGTTTGGATGAGTACTTAAGAATATTTCTATTTATAAAGTCCCAACCTAATGGCCCATATTTATAAAAGTTGCTGTAGTTACAGATAAATTGGAAATTTGCTAACACATCTTATTGATATGGTCACTTAACTAATTAAATTAAGTGGATTCCTTGAACCAAATAATATTTCATTCTTGTATGAAATCCACTTGTTTATCCAGACACCAAAACGAATTCATGACGAAATTATTTATTCCTTTAAGGCAGCCAATTTTTTTTGGTAATGACAGCAATTTGAAAAATATCGAAAACATTTATTGTCGCATTATAATGAGAACAGTGTTTCGAAAATAATTTTCTATGTGGGTATTAAGTATAGAGAAAGTGAAGATAGAATAGAAAACATTTGCAGAAGGAGATTTTTAGAAATCGGAAAATTATATTAAATATTGATATTAGAAGAATGATTAAATCTAAAAATCTAAAATTGAATATGAGAACATCTCTGGTTAAATAAAACGGGATTCTAGGAAATATGTGAGATCAGGAAGAGCCTGAGCTCGGAATTTCGTAAATATAATGGTATGCAACCAAATTTTGGTGTAAATAGAAAAATATCACAATTGTCAA